GTGTGTGTGTGTATATATATATATATTATTTTATTTACATATTTTAATATACATATAAATATTTGTATTATAAGTAGGCTATACAATTTTATATAAATATAAAAATTCATATAGTATAAATTAATATTACAAATACATGGAAAATGTTTTGCCTTAAAATGATCAATAACTGGCAAATGTCAAAACCTTTTTAAAAGGTTATTTAGTCAACAAATTAAACTTCATGCAAATAAATACGGAATACATAAGAGAAATTCCTCATAATAAAAAAAAACTAATTTTAAAAGCCTCTGTCATATCTGAAAATTAGGTTCTGTACCAAGAAATAAAACAGCCAGTGAAAGATGCAGTGTTATTGATTTAGAAATACTCAACAATGCTCAGCATTCTTAAAAAATGGAAATGGAAAATAAATAATTAATTTAGCTGAGCCTGCCCATATGGCCACTTTTGTTTCCATGCCAATCCAGAAAGCAGACTGCAACATTCTGTAATAACGTCATCACTCACTCAGATTCATTACATTTGCATTGTAGTTTTTAATTATTACATATAAAAAGGATTACGGTCAATATTTGCATCCTTGAAGAATTAAGTTGATCAGGTGGTTTTCTTTATCACAGTAGGCCTAGCTCTCATTTCCAGTCTCCACATGACATGGTGCATAAATTGCATCCCGAAGGCAAATTCAATCACAGTGATTTCTCTATAATAGCTTGTTTGATTCCCTCTCTTTGATACAGAGAGACTCTATTCACAACATAGTGACTGACATATGGTTCTGTTACCTATAATCGAACGCAGTTGCTCAATACAGTGAACAGTACACGTTCCTAGTTTCAAAGGAACTGAGCTTGTGATGTTTTCTAGTCATTTTGTTGTCAGTTTTCTTCCAGAAGACTGCTAGCTGTCACATTTTTCCACTCGCATCACTCCATTTATCCACATCACTCCAGTGAGTATTTGGCAACAAAAAGTACCAACATTTCCACTGTTACTGTCCAAGAAAAAAATCACACAGTTCATTTAGGCGATGTTGACTTTTATTCAGCATAAGCTGTCACAAAAGGAACCTATTTTATTTTATTGTATTATTTTATTTTGTTAAGAACAACATAATAAAAAAATGAAATACTGAAGTTTAAAATGCCATAATCCACATCACATAATCCACGTGCAGTTAAAATGTACTGTATGCGATTTAGTGGTATTTCAGTCATATTTAATAATCAAATAATTAATAAACACAAATATATTCAACAAAATGAAATAAAAAGGGACTAATTAAAATACTACTATTAAAACAAATTGAAATGAATTTTTAAAAATAAATTCTAACAAATATATCATTATCATAACCTACATAACTACCTTGATATAGCTTATCATCTACTGGTTTATATAAACAACCATAAGGTACAATATAGGCTATACAATACGCCAAGATGTCTAGCAGAAATAAATTAGATTTAATTTAATTTTATTTTATTTTATTTTATTTTATTTTATTTTATTTTATTTTATTTTCCATACGAAGGCTGTGTGCAATCACATTCAATGGCCACTAGGTGGCGACTTAACATTGCGAGAATCTCTTGATTCTTCAAACAGATTGTTGAGTTCAGCTCACTGCCAGCAACTGTTCATGTGAAATCCTGCCAATTAGAAAATACAGAACAGGACAGTTCAGTTTGTTCAGCCAGTTTGTTTAGTCAACTGTCCAATGCTGAATTGCTGATTTATAAAAATGAGTGAGAAAAGGGGAAGAATGTAAAAAAAAGGGAAACACATATCAGTGCATGGCTTTGCTGAAATCAGCGTGTGTCTGTGACCCCACAGATGGCAGAGGGAGGGTGGAAGTGAGTTTGTCTCCTTCAGCGGAGTGATCAATTAAACCCATCCAACCCACAATGCCTGCCTCCTCCAGCATTGACTCATCTGGACTGTCACACACACACACACACACACACACAGAGATTATTGGCTGACACATAAACCGACGAAATTATGATCCAGATCCTCTTTGTCACTGTTTTATTGTGCAAAACCAGAACGTATATGGTCAAGGAGAAACTAGAGCATCAATCTGCAAAGAGTTTTACATGTAGGCTTCATGCATGTGTGCGACACTGATTACATGAGATGAGTCATATTTCTATGATTGGCCACTTTTCACCAGCACCCTCTGCCTGTTTCTGTCCCTTTCATCCTCTCTTACTCACAGACAGACACATAAACACGTTTAAAGCAAGAAAAAGGCTGTGTTTAAGAACGAGAGAACATGCACCACGTTGAAGGAGGAGGACCGTAAAGCAGCAGACAAAGAAAGAGACAAATGAATGATTACAGGGCCTAGGATGGATGAAATTACAGACATGGATGAACAAACAGCACTTATTTGCTACTGTTTCTCTTTCTCTCTAGCGCTCATTTGCTTTCCCTCTGATGAATTTCAAGAGGTTTTGATGGCTTCCCTTTCAGATGTACACTATAAACATCACAGTATATGTTGGATGAAAGCTCGAGGGAGGGAGGATCTGACTGGCAGGATGGGGGAAATGATCTTAACCCTTAAAACTGTTAGACTGTGACTACTAGACTATTGACTGTGAAGATCTCTCTTGTTGTCTTGTTTTTTTCTATGTAGTTTTTCATCATCATTACCTTCATTTTTGAGGAAATTATCCTACAAATATGTGACCCTGGACCACAAAACCAGTCTTAAGTGTCAATTTTTCAAACTTGAGATTTATACATCATGAATAAACAAACTTTCCATTGATGTATGGTTTGTTATGATAGGACAATATTTGGCTGAGATACAACTATTTGAAAATCTGGAATCTGAGGGTGCAAAAAAATCTAAATATTGAGAAAATCACCTTTAAAGTTGTCTAAATGAAGTGCTTAGCAATGCATATTACTAATCAAAAATTTGATATCTTTACGGTATAAAAAATGTACAAAATATCTTCATGTAACATGATCTTTACTTAATATCCTATTGATTTTTGTCATAAAATAAAAATCAGTAATTTTGACCCATACAATGTATTTTTGGCTATTGCTACAAATATCCCCCAGCGACTTAAGACTGCTTTTGTGCTCCAGGGTCACATATGCATTAAAACAACTCAGCTGGAGTGCTTTCTTACATGCTAAACTTGCTAAGAAAAGAAGATTCACAAACGTTATCTCTTCAACCCTATAAAGCATAGTGTGTCTTATTTCTAAGGCAACAAAATGAACAATATGTCCAAAGCTCTAAAATGCATGCCTTTTCTTATCTGACTGATAGTTTATGCTTTTTTAGTAAGTAAAACATTTTAAAACTATCCACCTTCAGCTCGTGGCACACTTTTTGCTGGGAAATCTTTACTGATTTTTATGGAGCAAAGGTAAGAGTAAATTATATTGTTAGCAATCTTTCATGATGAACACTTACTGGACTGAAGCAACATACACTCTAAAAAAATACTGGGTTAAAAAGGGACAAACCCAGCTATTGGGTTGTTGTTGCTACTGGGTCAAAACAACTCAATAGCTGGGTTTGTCCCTTTTTAACCCAGCGCTGGGTTATATTTAACCCAGCATTTTTTTTTTCTTAGTTATCCTTACACAATTTTTTTAAATCGTGTTAAAATGTAAGCATCAAATATGATCCATCAGGCTTTTGAGAAAATTTGTTCATCTCTCAATCATCTGCATGTTTTGCACCACAGTAAAAACGACAGAGTTTTGATCATACACTCTAAAAAATGCTGGGTTGTATTTAACCCAGCATTTTTTAGAGTGTAAAACTAATCATTGAAATATAATTTTCTTTAAATATCAACAAGACAAGTAGTCTATTGTATTGTTGAAGATCTCATTGATTTACATCACAAGCTATCAGAATTTTACCTTATGTTTTAGCCATATAAATAACAACATCTGAGTCAAACTGGATATTCTTGGACAGTATTGGCCTCTGAATAAAACTGATGTATTACTGAAGCTCCATATCCTCACTGTTTCATACTATATGATAAAAGCCTGCGCTAATAAATATGGTAAATATAATAATACACATATGCATATTTGTATTATTGTTTTGCAGGTTTAATGAAGTGTTCCAATTTAAAAAAAAACAATTCTAACTATTATTTCATTTGTAAGGCTTTATATAGAGTTGATATCTCAATTGTATCTCAGTGAGATTTAAATGTAGAGCAAACTGAGACTCCTGCCAACATGTTTCCATACATTTGTCTCTTTCACAGTTTCAGATGAGATCGACAATGTGCAGACAAAAGTCAAAAGAATGAGAACTTCATAGGACATTTCTCACTTAAAACTTAATGCTCAACTTGAATTCAACTAGACTAAGCTGTATTCAAAACTGAAGGGATCCTGTTTGAATGAAAACTTTTTTAGATCAATGATGTGTAAACATGAGCAAGTTTATTCCCAATACATATAAAAAAGATATATTTGTACACTCTAAAAATGCTGGGTTAAATACAACCCAGTGCTGGGTAAAATAGGGACAAATCCAGCAATTGGGTTGTTTTGACCCAGCGGTTGGGTTAAATGTTTAAATGTTTAACTCAACCTTCTGGGTAGTAACCCAACCGCTGGGTCAAAACAACCCAATTGCTGGGTTTGTCCCTATTTTACCCAGCACTGGGTTGTATTTAACCCAGCATTTTTTAGAGTGTAAAACTAATCATTGAAATATAATTTTCTTTAAATATCAACAAGACAAGTAGTCTATTGTATTGTTGAAGATCTCATTGA